TCCTTCTGTGTCCTGTCTTTGCACACAGATCTTGTGGACGTTGGGGACACTTTGCTGTGCCCAGCAAACCTAGGTCTCGTTAAGGTGGAGGAGCTGGAGAATCAAGCCCTGCTACCCAACCTGCAACAGAATTACCTGACTGAGCTCGCTGACTCCCACTGTCCTCCCTGTCCTGGGGAGGGCCAGGAAGGACATCTTCCAGGTGGACATCCTCAAGTTCCTGATCCCCTTTGGGCGGGAGGCCTGTCCAGGCTGGGCTGTCGAGGGGAAGGTGATGGAGAGACCAGCTCATAGTGACACCGTCCAGTGGCCGCTGTGCCCTGTACATGCCCATTTGGTTCAGTCTGATTCGGCCCCACCCTGAGGTGTGCTGCCCACTTGGTGGGTATTCGGGGTCCAGGACTCCTCTCATGAGGTGCTGCTTTCTACTCAGGAAGAGTCTTTGGGACTTTGACCTTTATGAAAAGATGGCATTGCCAGTCATTTTGGCCCTGCTGGGTCTGGGTGCTTGAGAGAAATGTGTTGTTAGGAAACCGGTTGGTGTTTTTCCCTCTGTGTTCTGGTCCAAATTCCCTGTTTTGGAACAGTGTCCAGGGGGTGATGGGGGAAGGCTGGGGGCTGGGCTGAGTGTCAGCAGGCAGAGAGGCTCATAGGCCCAGAAACAGGCAGCAGTCTGTCCTTGCAGGTGACCCTTGTCCTGCTGTAAAGTGTCTCTTGGCTCACAAAGCATGTGCGTTGGACATGGTGCCTGGCTGCCTCATGTGCAAAGACAGGCTCCTAAATACAGCTGTGAGGGCAGAGTGACAAGGGCTAGTGTTCTCCTTGTGGAAACTTTGTACTTGTTTTTGGGCTTGAGTCATGTGTTTTCAAGACTCTTGGTGGGTGGGGTGACCCTGCATTCTGGTGAGACTCTTGGGGAGACCCCTGAATCGGGAGCTGGAGATGCTCAGCTGCTGATTAGAAACTTGTGGCACCATTGGGGGACCCAGGAGGAGCCTCTTCTGCTTCAGGGTGCATGACTCATGGGAGGTGACACCCCAAAGGTCAGGAACCCAGCAGGGCTGTCTACTGAGTGGCAGCCAAAGTCGAGGTGTCAGTGGACATCAGCTCTCGTGAGGGCTGTGAAGAGAGACTGTCCCATCTTTCCCCCTCCTCACTTCCGGGGCTTTGCTGGCCATGGTGGGCATGTCTGGGCTTGGAGAGATCCTCCTTTCTCTTCATCATGAGTTCTCCCGTGTGCCTCTCTGTCCCTCAATTTGTCCTATGTATGGGGACAGCCATCGTGTTAGAGGAGGGTCCATCCTAATCAGCTCACTTGATCTCCATCAGCTCTGTGAAGACCTCTCCTTTGTCTATAAGGTCACGCTGAGGTACTTGGGATTGAGACTCCAAGACCTGACTCTGAAGGGACACGATGTGACTCCTCACACCCTACAAAAGTTCTGAGGTAGGAACACACTGGAATGTTCAAAGGATGGAAGGATGGCCTTCATGGCAACCGGGAGGAATCTGGGGGCGAGGAGAGCAGGCCACCAGGATAGGAAACTGATCACGTGGTGCCTCGTGGGCCTGTGAGAACTGTGGCTCTGCTGTGCTAGGTGAAGGAAAGTCCTGGGAGGCTGTGGGCTGGGTTCATCTGGGATCTTGTCCCCATCCTCATAGCCGCATGGAAATTGAGCCCCCTTGCGTGGTGCTGAGACCTTGCTGAGGTTCAGGCCTACGGCTCTGTTCCTCCCCTCCCTGCTCCAGTAAACAGGGAAACCCCTCCAGGTACAAGGGAAAAGGTGAGGATGGAGGTGTGTGTTTTCAGGTCCCCTGCAGTCATGGGTTATCTCTCTATCCCTCAGTGCCTCCTCAGCAGTTGAACGAAGTGACAGTAACCTAGCAGGTTACTTGGTCCAGGGTGGCCCCAGGGCCAAGGCCAGACAGGTTAGCACGGATCTGCCCTCAACAGCCATGGGCTAAGATGGGGGATCTGCAGAGCATGGGCAAGGATGGGGCTGGGAGCTGAGAGGTCTTTGCCAGCTGTGGCTTGGGACACTTGTATTGTGCACACAGAAGCCCTCATGATGTCTTAAGGCCTGCCTTTCTCAGCCTTGCTGTCCTGCCCCTGCACTTGGCATCCCCACTCCAGTGTCTGCAGCTCAGAGACCCTCCAGCTGCTCCTCTCCCTCGCTGAGGCTGGGGAGACCTGGAGGCTCAGGGTTCTGCCCATGTTACCTTCCCTCCCATATTGGAGGAGGCTCCTGTAGGGGCCTTATCCAGTGGGCACTGGGGCCATTCAGTCAAAACCCTCCCTTCCTCCTGCTCAGTGAGGAGCTGGTCAGCCTGGCAGTTTCAGCTGGGCAGGAGGCCCCATGGCAGCAGCAGGGACAGGGCGCCACCCTCAGGCAGGAGGTGCTGGGTTTGGACAGAGATGCCAGCCCCCGGCAGAGTTAGGTCTTAGCAAACCCCAGAGCAGCCCCACAGTACTTCTGATCCTCCTCATCCCTTTCCATCCGTGGGCCTGCTTTTTGTCACCTCAGAGGCATCGTGTAGCACTGAGAAGAAGAAGGCAGGAGAAGTTGGAAGGTAGGGCCATGGCCTGGGGTGGGCAGGAAGGGCGGGGGCTCCAGAGGAATTGAGACCGGGGCTCTGAGACCACCCAGACCCTCACTAGCACGTGTTCCTGGGAAGATGCCCAAGGCCCGTGGCCTCAGTTCTTCATCTGGGAGGCGAGCGGGTGTGAGAAGCCCCGTGTGTTGGGCTGCAGGATGCATGTGAGGGACGACACAGAGCTCAAGGCCTGGCGGCTGTTAACCCTGTGATGGCAGGGCAGGAATTTCTCACACCGTTGCCCCCAGACACTCCTCCACTCTCCACTGGATGGAGCTGGCTGCTTTGTGGTCCAGGACAGGTCAGAGGATATGCACCTCAATAGGATGTTTCATAAATAAAACCAAAAACTTTGCTAGTTAGACCATAGTGGACCATAGTGTTAGTCGCTCAGTCATGTCTGATTCTGAAACTCCATGGACTGGAGCTTGCCAGGCTCCTCTGTTCATGGAATTCTCCAGGCAAGAATACTGGAGTGGGTTGCCATGCCCTACTCCAGGGGGATCTTCCTGACCCAGGAATCGAACCCAGCTCTCCCACAATACAAGCTGTTTCTTCATCATTTGAGCTACCGAGCAACCCCATTTCCAGTTAGAGGAACTGTGAAATTTGAGTGTGGAGGAGTGTTCCAGCAGGACCCAAGCTGCTCCAGGAAATAGAAGCAAGAACCACTCTTTGCCTGTGTCCCAGCTGATCTTCCATCCCAACCCTTATTTTCATCATTGCAGTGCCACTAAATGTCGACTCTGATTACAATGCCCAATGATAATCAAGAATATTAAAAGCTAGTTAACATCTTGAGTTCTGGGTCCCCGGGACCAGGAAAGAGAGGGTCAGTCCATGGATTTCTAGGCATTACTTCAAGGGAGTGGGACCAGAGTTCTGCAGGATTCCTAGCAGATACAGGGTAGAAAACAGCTACTGCATCCCTGTGGTCAGCAGCAATGCGACAAGAGCCAGCACCCCTTCCATCCTGACCTAGAAGGAGATCTCTCTGGTGTTTATCCAAGATCCAAAGGGACACCTCATAGCAATATCCCATTTCCCCTCACTCCCACAATGCACCTCATATGACTGTGGCTCCTAGATCATCACTCTAGGTGTGGGGCTGCCCTGCTTCTCCCAGTGTCCCCACGGCTAACACAGGGCCTCTCATGGAGCAGAGGCGCCATAAAAGTCTTCAGATTAAATAAGCCAGTGAGCAGGGGGCTGCTGGACTCAGATTACTTGCCACTTCCTTTGATAACCCGGGCAAATCCAAATAAACCGAGATCCCTTAGCTATACAAAATGACATGCGACAAGTGTAAAAAGCAAGAATTCACTACTATCACTTTTTATTTTCTAATTCTTCCACCAACTATGTCACTGCTAAATAAATTCACATTTCTAAAATTGTTCTAATTCTAATTCCCTGTTATCTTGTGCAGGACCATGAAATAGAATGGAAGCATTTCCAATCTCTTTTACAAAAGAGAAAACTCTTGTTCTTGAACTGGCTAAGTACAAACACATGGTGATCAATGTCACTGACATAGTTAGAAACCGGGATGCATCATCTTCTATAAAAAGGAATAACTTTTGAAAAATTCCTAAAGAAAAGAGAGATGAGTCTCCATGTCATTGTAGAGAACAGGAACACAAAGATGTTGCACACTGGGTTCCCCCAACAGGCCCGGGCTATCACTGCTGAGAAGGCTAACTGCTCCCTCTTCAATCATAGAGGGAAGGATCAGCCTCCCTTCCTGTCCCCCAGGACAAGCTGCTGGATGTGGGCCTGGAAGGAGCCTGGCTGCTGCTCTGGCTCAGAGTCCCCTTTCCTCTTCCCTCGCAGCCTCTGCAGAGGGGGTGGAAGGAGCTGGGACCCCTTCAACTGACTGTCCAGATACTCCTGAACTTTAAACTTGTTGGTCTCTGCACATGCCCAGGGAGCCCACAAGAACTCATAGCAAGCAGGGTCACTGTCAGGCACCTGCTGGTACTCCAGGTACCCCTCCTGCACCCACACTTGGGTCAGCAATACCCTGGGCTCCCCATAGATGTAGTGCTCCCTCCCAGGACACCCCCATCCTGATGAGTGCTCCCCAGATCTCCTCCTCAAGGGGCATGGCTGTCTTCCACAGTGATCAAGCACAGGATCACCACCAGGAGGCCGGCCTTGGGTAACCCCTGCCCATCCCTCAGCATCTCATTGAGGGTGAGGCCCAGAGTGGGGACAAGAATATAGGTGGTCTCACTGGAGCCCACCTCCTTCACCTCCAAACCAAAGATCAGCTGCAGGTACTCTGAGGCTTGACCGAGGACAACTAGGAAGTGGTCCTGGTAATCTTTGAGGACACTATTCAGCACTTCTGCCTTTGTGATTGACTCCTTGGCAAGATACCTGCTGAGCAAGAATTGCACCAGCTATTTCTTCTTCACCCATAGTGCATCTCGGAGGGAGGACCTGGCATCTTCCTTCTCACACGAGGTATTTGGCACTTCATCTTGCCTGCTGAGGCCATTGTCTTCAGATTGGCTCCCAAGAGTGGAAGCCATGGCAGTGGGAGAGGGGAAGACACCCAGAGGACTCTGGAGACTGGATATTGCAGCAGCAGCCACCTCCTCCAGGGTGCCCCAGACCAGGAGAGAGGAGGAGGAGGATGCTGCATCTCCTTCCTTCATCTGCTCCTCCTCCTCATCCCAAATGAACTGTGCCTCCATCAGACCCTCATCCTCTCTTGGATCGTGAAAGACTCTCTCAGGCTGGCGGAGCTCATGCATCCCAGGCATGACTGGGGTCAAACAGCAGGCAGAAGTGAGGCAGGGGGACAGATAGGGACCCCAGGTATGCAGGAGAGGGGGGTTGCGAGCAGCCTCAGCTGAAAACCCACCCTGGGCTGTCTGAATCAGGCCTCTGACAGGTCTCCTCTTGAGGGGTGCTCTCAGGTCTCATAGAAGAGCTCCTCCAGATCTGCCTGACCCTTGGCTACCCAAAGGAGGACGTGAGGTGGCTCCACAGGTTGCAGTCAGCACAGTGTGAGGTTCTGGGTCTGACATGCTGGGAGGATTAGGGCCTTGTGGGCTCCCCTCTGCTGGAATGGGGAGAACTCAGGGCACCCTCCTCACCTTGACTCTTAACACTACCTGGACCTCCTCTGCTCTCTGACCTGTTGACATGGGCCTCAGACCTTAGCCTTCACCTCCTGGTTTCTGGAGCTCCTGTATCAGAAATGGAGGGGGCACAGAGGGGGTAGTCTGTGGCACAGACGAGCTTTCTGTGCTGGTAGAAGTGGTGAACTCTGTGAGGTCACCCAGTTGTGGGGTGGCTGGTCCCCTCGGGGCTTCCTTTTATTGCCCACTGTTCCCCTGGCATGGCCTGGTCCCTCCCCTTTGGGGCCCTGCAGGGAAACTCAGAACAAGACCTGAGTCTGAACAGAAAGCACTGAGGGCCCCCACGTGTGGCGTCACCTGCCCAGGGCCTCCTGCGGGTCCTAGGCTGGGGAGATGCTAGGTGCTCACCTCCTCCTCACATCCCTCCTGGCCTCCTAACACTGACCACAGAGGTGGGAGGTCTACTCAATCCTGCTTCAGGGTCTCGGGAGTCCATCCTCTGTGGATCTGAAGCCTCCACCCTCTGCCCTAACACCTCACCTCCAGAGGCCCCTAAGCCAGAGATCAATAAACTGCTCAACCCACTCTGGGGGCTGCAACATCCACCACTAGGGCCAGGATCCCTCCCTGCCTTGGGGTCTAACAGCCTCAGTCCTTCCTAACATGGATCCTGGACTCCAGGCAGGGCCAGGGATTCTCCTGTTTGCCATTTTAAGGCCCCACTATTCTCACGAGGTCCCTAGTCTCTCTGAGACCCAGATGTCAGGAAATGCTGCATGAAGTCGTCCTGCCTCAGGATTACCAGGGTCCCCTGTGTTCTGGGGTCTGGCTTCCCTCAGACCTCCCTCAGGGTCCTCAACTTGACTCCCACTAGGACCTGGGCTCCGTCCTCTCCCCACCTGAGGCCCGGCTCCTCACACCAGCACCCCAGTCTCTCTGAGACCCAGATGTCAGGAAGTCAGGACAGGCCTAGTGTGCTCTTCTCACCGCAGGGTCTCCCAGGGCAGATGACGGGGGGGGGGGGTTGTTCTCTGGGGTCTTATCAGTCTTCCCTTGGGGCCCACTCAGTCCTCCCTCAGGACCTTATCTTGTCTCCAGGCAGGACCTAGCATTCTCTCCTCACCCCAAACCTGGCCCTGGCCCTCTAACCAGGTCCACAGTCTTTCTGAAACCTGGATGTCACAAACTGAGGACAGGCCTAGAGCACAAATTCCACACCGAGACCTCCCAGGGCCGAAGGTAGGGGTCGGGATCTGTGGGGTCACCTCAGATTGGGGTCCAGGGTCCCCTGAGTCCTCCGTCAGTGTAGTCCCTTTGACTTCTTGGAGGACCTGGACACTCCCCTCTGCCTATGTGAGATCCCATCCCTTATCCTAGGTCCCCAATCTGTCTGAGACCCTGATAGGGAAGTCAGAACACCCTGTGAAGTGTTCATCCCCATCCCACCACCAGGGATACCCAGGGCTGGCAGTAGAAGAGTGGAACTATGGGGTCACCTGTGTTCTCCCTCTGGGTCCTCATCCTTAGCCTTGGCAGATCCTGGGATGCCAAAGTCCTCAGCAGAGACCAGACCCTCACAGAAGGGCCTCATTGCCTTGAGGCCCCAGGAGGAGGCTGTGGACATTACATCAGGGGACCAAGCCAAGGACTTCTTCGTGGCTTAGGATGCCATGGGCTGAGATGATGTCCTGCGAGTCACTCAGCCTTCCCTATACTCTTCGCCACGACTCTCAGCTAGTCTGGGCACTGCCACCCTCTGCCCACCTGATTTTGTATCCCTTAGAGACCCAGGCCCTCTTGAGCCAGGACAACTGAGAGGGAAACCGGGGTGGGGGGCTCATTCCCACAACCCTGCCAGGATCTCCCAGGGCTAAAAGCAGTGAGGACCTGGATGTCCGGGGGCACCAGAGGCCCCCTCAGGGTTCTACCTTGACTCCTAGCACAGCTAGGCTCCTTCCTTCTGCTGACCTGAACCCAAGGTCTGTGACCCAGGCACTCACTTCCCCACCTCCCAGCGGGATCAGTAATTTCACATCTGGATGCCACGCCCTGTGGTCCCTCAGGGCTGTCAGGAGGGCCACACATGCATCCCCTGGGAACCCTCAGTCTCCTCTGGTCCTCACTTAGAGTTTCTGCAGGATGTGGGCCCCTCCCTCTGTCCACATGAGACAAGCCTCTGACTCCAGGAGTTCACTGAAGAAGCCAGACGGGGGGCTAGGTCTGACAGGCTGGCCCCAGGTCTCCAGGATTCCCACTAGAGGTGAAGTTGTAGTCTATGGGACCCTCTGTTCTGGGGTAACTGGACCCCCTTGTCCTCACTGGAGGGGGCCTCCTTGACATTTTAGAGAAGGCTGCAGTCCCGACAGAGATGCTTGATGGGGGGCCGTGGCACCCATGACTATGGGGGAGCACATGGAACCACACATCTTCTCATGGGAACCCCTTCACTGGTCACCAGACTTCGGAAATATTTTGTAGAAAGGATATTTCAGCTGAAGAGAGTAAACAGCAGCAGGTGAGTTAGGGGAACCCTTGCTTTGATGATTAGATATTACCAACTGGAGTGCCATGATTTTAACTTTTTAATTCTCATTCACAGAGAGGAATACATTTCAGATGTCAGTGTGGTGTGTGTCCAATATATATGTATAATGTCTGGAGATTATATGTTCTTATATACTTATATATGGTGATACCAGGTATATGTACGAAGCATGTTCTGTATGTTCCATTACCCAGACGTAGGTGTGTCCACACAGCCCTGATACTCACACAGATACTCACCACACTGTGGATGCTGTAAGAGTCCACCAGCCCCCTGATCACTGTGCTTTAAAGGACAGGCTTCCCCCTGCCTGAGATCCAGTCCGCCTGGGGCAGTGAGACTGCAGGAGAGCTTGGAATCCCCAAGAGCTGGGAGACAGGGGAGGAGAGGGGGCGGTGGAATGAGAGAGCAGGGTTGTAGTCTGAACATAAGAGCCATCTTTAGCTGGCTGTGCCTCCAACCCCTACATTCAAGAACTTTCTCCATCCTCACACACTCAGTCCTACACCCTATCCCTCCTCTATGGCTCTTGTGTCCACTTCAGTAGGGATGGTGTCTTGATGGGGCTAGTGAAAGTTTGTTGCTGACCCACCAAAAGACGCCGGGATTCTTGGCCTCCGGAGGAGAAGAGTTCAATCTGGGGCCAGAGACGAGGCTTGATCACTCAGAGCTTTTGTATAATAAAGTTTTATTAAAGTATAAAGGAGATAGAGAGAGCTTCTGACATAGGCATCAGAAGGGGGCAGAAAGAATACCCTCCTGTTAGTCTTCAGCTGGATGTTATATAGTCACTAGCAGTCTGTTAATGAAAGAAAGGAATGTCTTAAAACTCAGAATGGCACCAGGCCCCTCATCCATAAGATGTATTTTGGGATAATCTTGGCACCAGACAATTCATCCCGAGCCATAAAAAAATTGACTTGAATCTTGTAGAAGGGCAGATTACCATACAAATAGTTTCATTTACATAGATTAGGGGAACAATATCTGAGTATAACATAATGGTTTGTCAAGTAGGTTCTGAACCATTAGGCAGAACCGACTTGAAGACAGAGTCTGGGGTAAATGCATAGTACATTAACATAGCTTAAGACAAATATTTCCCAGAAAAATGCATTAGTTAACTCAAGGTTTGAGAATAGTTAACTTCAGGTGAAACCAGGTGTCATTATGGCAACACAGTATTTTAAGAGAAACCTCCTTTTAAATTTGTATAAAGAAGGAAAAAATATCACTAGTTTGTTTCCTCCTGCCACTTAAGAGAGACAAAAATGTCTGACACTTGCAGCTTATTTCCTCTGTTTGAAGACCTCTGGCCTTCCTGCCTGTTACCCTCTCACTAAGGAGGCCATGTTGGCAAAATCCTGTGTCAGTCTCTCATGGGCAGTGATGCCTGGCTTCCCTGTGTTTTCTCCATTATGTGACCTGAGGCATCAGGTGGGAGGACAGCTGGATTCCCCTTGACTGTCAGGAAGAAAATTCAGGCCGCTGGGGGGATGAGGCTTTGCACCCACAGGAAACTCGGTTTGAATACATATCCTGCTACCCAATGAAAACATGGACACTCAAAGTCTGGATTTCTCCAGCTGTAAAATGGGCCTCATAACAGTACAAGGTGAAAGCATTGGTGTGAGTCCCCATTTGATGGGACCTGTCTGTAAAAAGCTTGGTCAGTGTATATGGCTATTATTACTGAGGGTCAGAGATGTACCTTCCCCAACATTGTGAAGGTTCCGAACCAGTACATATCTTCAGAGCCTCGTGTACATTGATTGATCCAGTTTTTCTTTTCTCCCTGAAAATCTTTTATGGGGAATGGTAAATATGGCATAACTTGTCTAGACCGAGCAAGGGTGATGGTCACAGTCCTGGCCCAGGGCAGGGCAAATGCTCTGGGCTGTGGGAAACGGCCAGGGGGAGGAGCATAAAGACCTCCAGGTGGACTATCCTGATCCAAATCCCCTCCACAAGGCTCTGAAAAAGAGGGTCTTCCCGGGGGACCCATTGAATGTCTAGGGAAAGTTTCTGCTTTGGACCTACCACCTCTTCTCCCAAGTGCATGTTTCCTTGGGTGTGGAACCTCATTCCAAATCTCCCCTGCACAGCCTGGAACTGGAGGCTCTCCTCTACACCC